CACAACATTCTGTATGTATCTGGGTTACCAAAGTGGCTATATTTCCTTCTCCATGTTCCTTAAAAATCATTTCTCAAGCTGGAGCACTGCATCTTCAACAATCTCCTAGTCAAACTGACGTGTTATAGATTTAAACTTGACTGGGGCTATACAATGCATAGAGAAATTCTGAGTTACAGAAATCCTTCTTTTACAGATATAATGTCAACATAGTTTGAAACACCAAGAACGTAGTTTCATTTTCTTGATAAGTCAGAATTCAGGTCAAAAGTAGGCAATTTAATATGCTGATTAATTTTATCCATTTATAGGAGTACCCTACCCAGCTCTATGTAGATTCCCCCCCACATCTTCTAAACAAAAAAATGAACAAAATAGAAAAGACTGTGTTTTACATCACCATTACTTTTGGCCAAAACAGTAAGCCTTGTAGTTCTCTCTGAAGGTGAAGCTTGATTTGGGAACAAGTTCTGAAGTTGGAGACAATTCATATCTCAAACCCAGCAAGTGATCTCAGCCCTTAGATTGGTAAACAAAAATGTTCAGATGGGCTTTAGTGATGTGAGAACCTCAGATCCATTTTCAGAAGTGACTTAACCACTTGTGTAGACTAACTCTTAGACTCCCAACTGCCTTATGCTGGTGATGCAGCCTTGACATTGTGGTGCATTAGGTGAAGACAGGCTATGTCAGTGAGTGTGTGCTGTCCTGTCAGCAAATGTCCAGGAAGCGGCCACGGTAGTCCACGAGGACCTGGAGTACGATGGAGAAGTACCCCTTTCTGTTTATGAAATGGGCTGCTCGATGCTCCAGGGCATGGACGGGGATGTGGGTTGCATATAGGGCTCCCCCGCAGTTGGGGAACCCCAGGGCAGTGAAGCCGGCCACCGTAGCCTCCACGTTGCGCAGGCAGATGACTCTCTGGAACAGGATGTCATTGATGGCATGGTTGACCTGCAGAAGGGTGCAGAGAAACACAGGGGAACACATTACATAAGGCTGGGTGAGCGCATGCTCCCTTGGGGGGTTCCCCCCCCGTGATGCCCTCTGTCCACACCCACCAGGGCCCCCTCCCCACCAGCAGGCCTGTGCAAGGGAGGGATGGCTCAAACCCCTGGGTGACCCAGACTGGAGTCTTGCCTACCCCTGGGCATGGAGTGCAGCACCCTTCCCACTCCCCCTGGGACTTACCTGCATGACGACGGCACTGACAGTCAATCTGCCCACCCTGAACTGGTTTGCCAAAGATCAGTAGCTGTCCGGGGTGGCCAGCTTCCATAGCGCAATGATGACCCTCTTGTCCACTGGGATGGGTGCCCGCAGCCAGGCACACAGCTCCAGGAACATCTGCTTTCTCATCCGAAAGTTCTGGAGCCATTGCTGGGTGTCCCATTGCCCCAGGACCAGCCGGTCCCACCAGTCATACTGGTGTCCAGTCTCCACAAGGACCTCTCCACGGTGGGGTGGGGATGCCACAGGGACGCCATGGCCTCCCTGGTGAGGGAGTCCAGAGTGACCCGGGGAGGAGGAGGAGAGTAGCATGGAGCAGCAGCTCCAGCCACTCCAAAATGGCTGGAAGGGGCCAGAGCAGGCACAAGGCCATTCCTGGCTCCATGGCACAACAAACAAGCTGAGATAAAAAAATCAGCCAAAGGCACTAAAGGCAAAAGGCAACGGTGTCCAATCAGGCAGAGGGCAACCACAAATTGAACTGCTACGGCTGTCAGTCCCTGCAAGAGGTCCTAAAGCACGCAGCAGGAGAGAAACGGCTGTCTGGGGAGATCCCTTTCAGCACGTTCTCAAAGAAGGCTCCAGCCCCTGCCCCTGGAAAGGGCTGGTGCCCTTTTGCCCTCTTTAAAATGGTTCCGGGCTTCTGCTTTTGCGCAAAAGTGCATTGATGAGTCCCAGACCAATATAGACGCTCTCTTGCGCAAATACTCTAATGCAAAAACTCTTATGTTAAAGAGTATTTGCGCAAGATCATGCCAATGTAGACGTAGCCAGAATGTTTGAGGCTTTTATATCAGGCCTAATGGTTTTCTTCCTCCACCCTCCCTCCCCAATTTCTTCCTCTTGCTTACTAAATTTTAATACTGTTTATTGAATCTTTCTATGGGCTGGGAAAAGAGGTGATATGAGAAAAATAGACATGGTTATTAAAGAATACTTAACCATTCTACGAGCTAAATCTGCACACCTTTTTCTTCATCTATCTTCTGTTTGAATTATTTTGTGAAACTGCAAGAAACCAATTCTAACTTTCATTTGTGTATATAAAATGCAGCCAAATAAACACTGGCGCTTAGATATGGCTGTTAACCATTAGTTTGGATAAGTTCATTTGTAGAAATTTTTGAATTGCCAAAAGGGACACTTTTAAGAGGCTTTAAGTGGCCAGAGTGCTAGGAAACCTTCCTTTTCTACTTCACACTTCATTGTGTTAACTCACTATCATTGTAGCTTAATTTCTTTTATCAAAACATTGTCATTCTTCTTTCACATGATAATTAATATGTGATGTTCTAAAAGTAATACGTATATTATGTCTTCTGCACACCAAGGTTTCCCTTTCTAGATTCTTGCCATTCCCATGGTAGAAGTCTGTAGAATGGTCTAAATCACAACTTATGTATCATCGGCGGCTTTGAAGCTATGCTAACATTACTTTTGTTTATCATCACTGAATACCAGGAGAATTAAAATGCTAGAAAAGTTAGAGAACTTCTATAGGAATGGGTGTTACTTTAGATATCATTTTGGTTAACGTTAATTAGATAAATACAAATTATCCTTCATCTATAGAGTAAACATAGCTACGTCCGATCCCTCAATTAAACCACTACACATTTTATATTTGTATATTAATTTAATGTTATTACATTTACAGGTTATCGTCATATTCCTCTGTATTCCAGAGAATCTGAAAGACTTGATCCTGCAACACTCTTTATGTATATTTGGTACTATAAATGATGGCATTAGAAGTACTCCTGCACTGGTATATTCCTCAATAAAGCAACCATCATGTAGCACTCAAACAACAGTTTAGTGAGTGGTCTGATTTTCAGAGGTGCTGAGTACCTGCAGTTTCCATGGAAAGCAGTAGAAATACCTGTATGAGTAAATGTAATTTAACTTAATATGAATAAAGGCTGTAGAACTGAACCCTGTAGTAATGCAGAAAAAATCATGTGCGCTTAACTTTTGGGGTATGTTTTCTTGACCCCAGTCTGTATTTTAAGATATGATTACTATCAACCTCAGATTGAACCTCTCTAGACTGGCACCCTCAGGACCTGACCAGTGCCAAGCCAGAGACTTTGCTGAACCATGGAAGGTCAATATTGTCTAGCAGCACTTCCACTGCTTACTGGGCTCTTAGAAGACGGGTAAATTAGAGCTAAATAACAGCACAGAACATTGAGAGTCAGATCTGATGGTGGTAAACAAGCTTTATGGGACTCCAGGAAATTTGGTCACACCCATGATATGTGGATATCCAGCTAATTAAAATCATATCAGACCATGGACATTGCTGGACCAGAGAGTATTGGATTAGAGAGGTTTGACCTGCAATAGCAAAACTGTAACTAATTATTAAATAATAAGGAAGCAGCATATTAATATTTATTGCCTAAGACTTCCAAAGGCACCAAAACTGACAACATGGAGTGGTCTTTTTCATTTGCATTGAGAAACTTTTTCCTACTACATATTAGTCTGTTCAAGAAAAAGGAAATCAGGAAATGTACAGACACACACAATTGAAACTTAATATTTTTAATCCATAACAAGCCAGTTTCTGATCTATAGCTCATCGATGCCCTAGATAATATTCAATTTTGCTAATATCAGGATCTCAAAACACTAACTGCCTGCCAGTTACTTATGTTTTGGCACCTTTTCTCAGCATAGCCCTTGCCCAAGCATTAAGAGACTGTATTCTCCCAACCTTTTTATAAAATTGCTTCTGTGCAATGAGCTCCGTATGGATACAGGGATCTGGCTGCACAGAACTCATGGCAGTTTTGAGGTCTAAATCTTGATAACTTAAATAGTTTCATACTTGTATCAATGCTTATCTTTAAAGTTAGATTTTATTTGTATTGTAATTATTATTTTCATTAATTATCCCATGTACATAAAAGCAAACAAAAGAAAACAAGACTATAAATTAAGAATCTGAACTCAACACTGAACTTTAGGGTCAGGTAATTTGAGAACTAAAAACTGGCTATGATGTGGCTTCTTGTATTTTTAAAAAGTGAAGTCAGTTATTTCTTTATCTCTGAACACTTATAATTTAAATTTGCCCTTGTACTGTATCATAGACAGTGTTTTTTTCCATAAGGGTTTATGGTTTTTCTTTAGCACTGAGGAGGTGTGTTCATATTTTGACTCAAGCAGGTTCTCTCTCCTTACTGGGAAGTTTAATTTCCCCAGGCAATATGGTAGTTGTATTCCAACAGCTGATCAGCAATGACATAACCAATTTGTTTGGGACTGAGAAGAATGTTGGTTTATTTGGATTCATGCCATGTTAAAATGACACTCATATACTGCACCTTCAACAGCTTTCTATACCATAAGCTGCTTAAGCCTGATTTGTGTGTCTTAAAACTATTGTCCTTTGGGTGAGGAAAAAATAATTGCCCACAGCTCTGGGTATTATATCCCAATGTCAGCCACTTTTACAACTTGCAGGATAAATCTCAACTCTAGCCAACTACATATTATGTTAATGTTTACCTTGGATCAAATCATGAACCAATACCTTTTTTACTGCTATAGTTTGTTACCTGATTCTGGAAGTATCAAACTTTATGCACGTGGGGCTCAGGAAGGCAACTGATTTAGTGGAAGTCAGTGAGTCTATTGGGACTTAAAAGTGGGCTTAACTGTTTTCCTGGATTGAGCAAAAGCACCATGAAGGACTGAGCTCATGCACCAAATCCTGCTGAGCTTAATGGAACTACTCCCATGCATGATGTTAAACATGCATATAAAACTTTACAGGACTGGAGCCTGGGAAATTTTTGTCTGCTTCTCTGATGCAGCATGACCATGTGATGGGGTAACAGAAATGAAAAAAGATGTCTTATAATATGATCATTCTCAATTTAACCTTTCAGCAGAGTAACTATGGATTGTTTGCTCTGCTCAAATATATATCTACATCTCATTTTCGGAAAGATTTCAAAGTCTATGGGAAGCATTTTTCCAACTCTAATTTAGAACATATATTAATTTTTTTCCAGAATGTATTTATTGCCAAATATTTTGCCAGAATAAACCCAATGAGATGAAATATCTTGTCCCAAGTCGCATGTCATATCAGCGCGTTAAAACTTAAAAATACATAGCATACACTATACTTAAAGTTCAGCATAGTTTTAAATTCTTTTAAATGTTTAGGTTTTCAATTATGACAGATAATTAAATTTTAAATGTGAAAAAAGTAAGAATTAAATGTGATATGTGCTAAAGGTTTTAAATACAAGCTGTCATTCTACTAGGATCTCTCAGGTGAACATGCTATCATACTAACTTGGACATATTTAAAACTGATATAACTGTACAGACAAAGTATTTACAATAGGATGAATCCAGACCAATAACTCATAAGGAGTCTTATCAAAAGCCCACTAAAGTCATTGGGAAACTAACATTGACATATATGGGCTTTGGATAGGCTTCATACCTCCAGGTTTCTGATACATAAAAGACATCTAGCTGTATACAAATAACAGTGATGAGCAGGAAAAAAATTCTTGCTTGTTGCCATAAGAAATGTTATCCAACATAATCAGTTATCTCTCAGAATACAGTGTCAGTTAAGTCTTTTTACACCTATGCTAATGGGAGTTTGGTGCCGGTAAAAATAATAATTCTAAGACAACAGTTAAATGGCAATGGACCGTGGGGAAAAAGTTATTATAATTTGTGATTAGTGGGGTAATGTATATGGTTAGTGGTTTACTGCCTCTTTTATTGTCAAAGGCAAATATTTTGGCTACTGTGCCAAAATGGCCCATGAGAAAAGTTAAAAAATGTCAATGAATGAATATTTTAGTTGTCTAAGGCAATGTTCAAATGATACTGTTCCCCAATGGGTACCACACTTCTTCATTTAATGAGACACTGTGCAATCGAATGTTGATGGCTCCCACAAATGTTCCTTTGCTTTTCACAATAAGCTGTAACACACGTCCTTGGAGCTCTGTGACTGCATCGTATACTACCTGCAATCATATATGGAAAAGTAGATAAAGTATAAGCAGACTGAATATTTTTTATGCCAAAAGCACTTCATTATTAATCACTTCTACCTAAAGGTTACCAACAATGCTTAAAGTAACTGACAAACAGCCAGTATGTGTCTAAAGCAGGGCTACTCAACTCTGCAAGTTCCGGGGGCCACAGTGATACTCACAGCACATGCCGAGGGCCGCAACTTAAGTGTGGTTGCATATACATGCAAATATATATACAAATAGCTTCTTTCACACTGACGGGCATCAATACAAAGATTAAGGTAAGACTACACAACATGCAGGCCCTGTTTAAGTCAATTCTGCTGATATTAATAAAATGAAATATTTACCCGATTTCCACCCATATGACAGCACTTTTAATGAAAAATGACAGTCCAGGAATTTGACCACTAAAATGCATATCAACAGAAGACCAGTCTATTGACTCGCCATTGTGGAACATGTTCCCAGTGGAGGCCATGTTCAAAGGATCCCACCTGTGGGCCGCGTGTTAAGCCCCGAGTAAACCCAAACCACTCTGCAGGCCACAAAGCAAGAGACTGCGGGTTGCATGGGCCACATGTTGAGTAGCCCTGGTCTAAAGTTACAAGACATGAGTCATGCTCACGTCAATGGAATTACACCAGGAACAAATTTAGCCTTATGAATTCAAAATAAAAGGAGCTTTTGCTGGCTTAGGCTGCTAAAGTTTAAAGACTGAGCATTTGCAAGGAAGTTTAAAACTAGTGCTTAAATGCCATCCCAAATTCAACTAGTAAAATTAATTATTTAAACTACGTAGTACTAGATACATTTTAATGCCCTCTAGTTTTTAAAGGGTTTGTTATTCATGTATCACTCAGTTTGACATCTGAACAAGGGGTTCCCGTTTAATAGTTGACCCAGTGGTTTTTTAATCTTGTCCCTCTGTTCATTATTGAAATACATTATTACAATATACCATTTTTCTACCTGTAAGTCCAAAGTCACAGTTGTTTCATGTACACAGCAGTTCTGAATAGGAGGTCAGCATAGAAAGGATTGTTGGGGAGTTGGCTGGAGAGAAGACACCAGTGAAAAGTGGAGGACATAAAGCAGGAGATTTAGGAAAATATGAAGGAGAGAAGGTGGAGTGGGATTAGGAGCTTAAGAGGAATGTATTAGTTCTCAGAGGGATAAAACTTAGGGGCAATGACATGGCTAAAAGCTTATCCATTTTGAAAATGTAGTTGTTTATACAGTAATTCCTCATTTAACACTATAGATATGTTTCAGAAAATGATTGTGTTAAGTGAAAACGTGTTACGTGGGGTCAATTTCCCCTTTGAAAATAATGGAAAAGGTGGGGGTTGCGTTTCAAGCAGTGGTGTCTGTTGGGACCAGAACATAAGGTTGGAGGAGAAAGGGGTCTGGGTTACAGCAGGGAGGGGAGGTGTTTGGCTCTGGGAAAGGGAAGGGGAAGGGGAGGGATTGGGTTGGGAGTATGCCCCTATGACGGATCTGCCGGGACCTGCACTGCGTCCGGTGAGGGGAGGGGGGTCGCCAGGAAACGGTGCAGCAAGCGGTGAACCCTCCGCCGCTTTGCAGGGAGGCAGGGGAAGCCCTGTGCAGCTGCCGGCGACAGGCCGGCTGAGGAAACCCAGCTGCCAGCCTGCAAGCAGGGGCGAAGGAAAGGGGCCAAGGTGTCCGGCGACGGGGAATCAGCAGGGAACGGCACGGTGAGTGGTGAACCCTCCACTGCTTTGCAGGGAGGTGGGGGAAGCCTCACACAGCTGCTGGCAACGGGCCAACTGGGGAAATCATGTTATTCTGGGGACGGTCGTGTAATTCAAAAAACGTTCCCTAAAAAAAAATCATGCTATCATGAAAACGTGTTAAGCGGGCATGTGTTAAATGAGGAATTACTGTATCTGCATGATGCTTTTTAACCTATCCCAGCTAATTTTAAAAAAGATGACCCTGGCAATCTTTATGAAACTATAATATATCCTGCACTATGAAAAGGCTAATTTATCTCATTAGAGCATTGCAATAACATAACATCTTTTTTGTAGACTCATAGAATCATAGGCCTGGAAAGCACATTGAGAGGTCAAGTCCAGCACTCTGTGCTGCAGCATGACAAATAAACTAACAGCATCCCTTACTAGGACATGTCCAATGTTTTCTAAAAACCTCCCCTGACAGGCATTTCACAATATCCCTTGGCAATCTATTCCATTACTTAACTGTCCTTATTGTTAGAAAGTTTCCTAATATCTAACCTAAATCTCCCTTGCTGCATATTAAGACCATCATTTCTTGGCCCGCTTTCAGTGATCATTTTGTTTCTTTCTGTTGGAATCTCTCAGGTTTATTTAGATCTTTCCAAAAGTGTGGTGTCCAGACACAGTGGATACAGTACTCCTGATGAGGCCTCACCAGTTCTAAGTAGAGTGGGGGAATTAGCACTCAGGTCTTGCATACAACATTCCTTTTAATACACCTCAGAAAGATGTTTGCCTTTTTTGCAATTGCATCACATCGTTGACTCATATTCAATTGTGGTTCATTATAAATTTCAAAATGTTTTCAGCACTACAGCCATCTACACATATTGCAATTTTGAATTTGATATTTTTCCCCTTTCCAACAGTAGTACTGGGCACTTAATTTACTCTCATTTTATTGATTTGTGATTAATTCTCCAGTTTGTTAATCTGCAGCTTGTATAAGCACACTCTTCACATCATTATCTAAGTCATTAATGAAAATATTGACTATTATTGAACCCAGAACTAACCCCTGCAGAACCCCAGTACAGATTCTTTTCCAGTTTGGCAGTGAACCTTTGATAACTACTCCTGAGTATGGCCTTTCAATAAGTTGAACCCCACTTTATAGTAATTTCAACTAGACCACATTAATCTATTTGTTAATGAGATCATCATGTCTACTGCTTCAACCTGTCCACTTTATTGGTTACCCAATCAAAGAAGGTTGCTTTGTCTTCAATCATGACAAATCCATCTTTCCTGAAATGTGGCAGAATAGAACGGAAGAATGACTTCTTGTGTCTTGCTCACAACACTCCTGTTAATACATCGCAGGATCATGTTTGCTTTTTTGAAACAGTGTCACATTATTGATTCATCTTTAGCTTGTGGTTCACTATGACCCCCAGATCCCTTTCTGAAGTACTCCTTCCTAGACAGTCATTTTCCATTTTGTATGTGTGCAACAGATTGTTCTGTTCTAAGTGGAGTACTTTGCATTTGTCTTTATTGAACTTCATCCTGTTTTCCTCAGACCATTTCTCTAGTTTGTCTAAATAATTTTGAATTATAATCGTATTCTCCAAAGCACTTGCAACCTCTCTGAACAATATTTCTAAAAGATTTCATAACAGTTCAAGACAAACATGCACAAATCAAATCAAGTTACAGAAAACCCCACACAATAGAGATACACATGGTATCTTTCCTTTGAAAACTGCCTCTATGAATTCTACACTTGGGATGCACAAATCCTTAGGATTTACCTACATGAACATGCAGTTCACAGCAAGCTGGGTTGTGCATATCCCCCAAACTAGCCTGCCATGGAGTAACTGTCTGTGTGGACCATGCAAACAGACAGTGTCAAAGAGGACTACATCAAAGTGCACTAACAAACTGTTTATACATGTCAGCAGCTTCTCTGAGGACAGTTAGTCTGACAGGCTAGTGCAGAGCAGATTCACACCACACCTTGCCACGAACTAAATCTTTGTGTAGATGAGCCCTTACAGTGAGAGTGTGGAATCTTCTTGCTATCAGTATATTTGGAGCATTCAGTACAGTAACTGCAATATTTAAAAAAACGTCATGTGATAAACACAATACAAAGCCAACCCAGGACAAGTTGTAAATGTAGAACAATTGAGGTAGTAGAATTTATAAATTAGTTGGTATCACCGCTGTTAGGATGCTGTTGTACCTCTTCACAAAAAGTGAAAAAGCTTGCTTTACATGCCTTGAGAAAAAAATACACTTTTACCCTTACCCTTGAAGTTACCTTGATATTATGAGAACATACTGGGGTTAATTATGAAATGTGAACATTGTATTCTTGAATTAAAAAGTCTGGAGACTGACAACCTAACAAGAAATATGCTGCATTCGTAATCAATTCCTCTCTCATTAACAAGAAAATGCTTTGGGATTAGTATATGGGATTATAATGTTTAAAAGGGCACGCACACACACACAATATATATACGTTTAGGGTTCAAATCTCAGGTTTGTTTAGAAGAACGTATATATCTTTGTACACGTTTTCACTGGGTTTTTTGTTTTGTTGCATCTCAGTGAAAATAATATGAAATGTGCACATTCTTCTGCACAGTTTGTAAAACACAAACACAGCAGCATTGGGCCTGGGCATGAGAATCAGACAGTGAAACTTAATAAAAGTGAAACAACCTCTCTGGTTTGAGGAAAGAAGTGCAATAAAGTAAATTATGACAAAAGACAATCAGACTTTCAAGTCTTCCAGCTGTCATCATAAGGGGTATGATTCTCCACTTTGATAAGGCCAATAGTGATCTTAAAATGGCCTGTGGTCATTAGAGTAGCAGCTCTCAACCTCTGAGGATTGGGACCTCAAAGTGGATTGCAAGTCACAAACCAGAAGAGCTGGTTTGGACTTGTTGTGGCCCCAAACTAAAGCCCAGGAACTTCACTGCTGGGCATTAGAACTCAAGTTACAGACCTCCTGCCCGGGGCTGAATCATAGGATCAGAATTATAAAACTGGAAGGAACCTCAAGAGGTCAAGCCCAGTCCCCTGCATTCACGGCAGGACCAAGCACCATATAGATAATCCCTGACATGTGTCTGTCTAACCTGCTCTTTAAAATCCCGAATGATGAGCTTCCATTTTGCCCCTTCCCACTCTTGGGAGGCGTGAGCTGGCTCAGGCTTCAGTCCTCCATCTTGGGGGTAGGTAGCAATTTTTATTGTTTGAAAG